ATGAATATACCAGATTTGTTCGGATTTCGAACTCCTGCTTTGCGTCACCTAGATGGCCCTTGTGATCCAACAGTCACAGGGCCACTAAACTCCATCGTCCAGGTGCCCAACCCCTAGGAAACTAAGGTTTGAAGTTCAGGGTTACTAGACTGCCCATTGCAACGTTGCTTGCAAAATCATTTTTTAACGATTTTTTTGGGGGAAAAAATAATTTATTTCATCTAATCAAGAAGTCGGACATGCGACAGAATACGCGTTTGAATGCGAGCGTGGTTCGTAGAATGCCTCTCTCCAATTGTAATGTTAGGGATGACAGAAAGGCACAGAGACAGACTGGAGTTTCCTGGCGTAGTGATAACACGTTTGTTTCGTAATCCGAAAGTCTAGGGTTCAAATCGCATCATTTTGTTTTTAGTCTTCTTATGCTACCCAAACTCTTCCCCCACCCGCCTCGGGCTATTACGTTCTCGAGAATGGATCCGACATTCGCAAGGTCCGGAAAAAAAGTGCTCCTCCGCGAGAGGGAGACATACACCCTTTGGCAGGCAGAAAGCGACGCACATGCGCACATGGACTTACGGACATGCATTCAGACCCAAGCATCGGAGGCTTCATATGCACGAACGCAGCTTCATTGTGTTTTTAATATATAGGACTAGCTGAAGTACCCGGCGTTGCCCGAGGAAATTCAATATTTCTTGCATGACAAATTGGGGAACGTAAGCCTTATGGTCTCCTATAAGTTACCGATCTTGGGTGTCGCAAAATGCGCTCGGACCCCTTTCCCTTTTTAAATTTTTTTTTGCACGCTTTGAATAATTTCTAAATTATTTTTAAGGGAAAAAAACTTATTGGTAAAATGCTTTTATCATTTTGAAACATATTTTCGATGAAAACTTGATCAAAAGAATATTACTTACTACCTACTGTAGTGATCCAGAAATGGGATTACCCCGGGATACTGCAATGCAGGTGGCCGGGAGGGGAGAGTTGGATGACATGAGAGGACAAAAAAAAAGGTGGGGATGGTCGGGAATCGAACCCGGGCCCCCTGATCGTCGGTCAGGTATGCTATCACTGCACCACCGAATCTGCTATCTAGACAATACAGCCCCCCAGAAAAGTACCCCGGGAGTGAAAATTTTGGATGGAAACATAGCCCTCGATCTTCCCTGGATGAAAGAGGAGGCCATGCAAAGTTTGGTTGCACTGGCTCCAAGGGGTCCGAATGCATAAAGGAACAGACAGACAAATTTTCTTCTTTATAAACTGTATATACTGTATACTGTACAGGTAGAGATGGGTCACACCGATCCAGCCTCAAAAAAGCACTTTCGTTCCTTAGTAAGGTAAATGCCTAGATATGAACATGTTCAATCAATGGATTAATTGGCTTTAAAAGTATATACATATATTATTTTTATTGAATCTCCTTTTTCTAATTTTACGTTTGTATTGAAACAATTCCACCATGTGAGATGCTCGGGAGAATATTTTTTTTCTTGGTGCTTGTTTTCTGCGATAGACTAGGCCAGCCGTAATTTCAGGCACCCTCATATCTGCCCTAAATAAAGAACTTTTCGGTGAGCGTAATGTATTCTGGGCGATTGGCTAAACTACTCAACGAACCACGATGAAGTACACACAAAAAATCCAAACGATAGATAAAAAACAAGGTTTTTTTTTACCGTGAAAGAATCCATTGAATCGAGGTCGATTTAATGTTGACACTTCCACCGTGAATAGTGTGGCATTGATTCAATGTTGAGTCAATGTAGGTGTATTAACGGTGATGGTCACCGCGTTGAATCAATGTTGATTCACCAGAGAAGTATAAACCTTCAACAGTGAAACATTCGATCCACACCAAATCAACGTTGAATCAATGTTATGTGGTACCTGGGATGATGACAATCAGATGAAGTACTATTCCCTTTAGTACTTCCAGCCTGAATATCATGGCGAACGTGGGCCTAACGTAGGTGTGCTGCAGGGACGTTGAGTTGTTTAGCTCTTTAGTACCTCTTCAATCCAGGATCGGTACAACAAGTTTTTCGTGGAGGCCGGTGCCCTGGACGGGAGGACAATATCGAAGACCCTCTACTTGGAAGAGAACTACGGATGGACGGGACTCTTGGTGGAACCGAATCCTCACCTTTTCCAGAAAATGACGACCCAAAACAGAAATGCTTGGCTTGCACCCTATTGCCTCTCACCGGAGGACAACATCATACAAGTGAGTACATACCGACATCAAAACGATGTCTTAAACTGTATGTATTCCATAGTACTATAAGACTTGACTCTTCAATTCAGGAGTTGATGGAGTATCCGTATGACCAGAAAAATCCGATAGCTTCCTGGGGAGGTGGGATCAGCAAAGAAGGAACGAAAATCAAGGGACCCTTTAGTAAAGACATTCCCGTTTACTCAGCCCTGGTCAAATGCTATCCCCTTCACATGCTCTTGGACGCTTTGGACATCACGACTGTGCACTTTTTCAGCCTGGACGTGGAGGGACTCGAACTGAAAGTTCTCAAGACGTTGCCTTTTCATCGCATTCAATTTCACGTGATCGAAGTGGAATACATTTTCACGGACGAAGGAAAAGAGGCTCTCAGAGACTTCCTCCTTTCACTGGGATATAAACTGGAGAATGAAGTAGGTGGTGAATATATTTTTGCTAATATGACCGCTCTGAAATAATAATTGAATGGACATGATGATGATGAAATGATGATATATAAAAATAATTTCTTTTTAATCAACTCTTCCGTCTTTGGCATGAAATAAAGCTAACTTTTCTGAAATATCATTCCTCTGGCAAAACGTAGTAAGTGTACAAGTTCTCTTCCCCCCTTTCCCCACCGGCATGCCCACAGTACCTGACACTTTTTCAACTCCCAGAATTCCCATGTATTGATTCTTGTTAGCAATGGCTTTACAATACTGTCATTCTCCGCAAGAAGGTCCCTCATTTGCTGATGAATGTGGACTACTGGCTCTGGTTCTCAATTTCCTTCTCAGAAATGATTAAGATTTCTTAATGCTATACTGTACAATTTCGACATTCTGTGAAAGAAGTTTCACATTTTCAGAAAGTATCTCAGAAAACTAAGGTGACATTGGTAAGGAATATTGGCATTTGATGGATTGAGTTATGATTATTGGAATTGTGGAGTTTTTCTATGACAATAAAAGATTCCAAATATCTCCCTGAACGTTGGAAATTGATGTTTTCTCGTATTCCTGTTTTTTTTTATGGAGACAACGGGAAGCAAAAATTCTCCTAACGGCGTGGCTATTTGGACTCTCAATGCTGAAACAAGAAGGTTCCGTGAATTCAAAAGTCTATGAAAGTGAAGTAATGCATATGTACTTTTACAGTTTCAAGTCCGAGAATGCACTAAAAATGCATTGTTGGAGGGGCATGAGGACAGTGAAGTAATAAAATTTATAGAAATAGTTTCTCTTTGCTAAAGAATGCCGCTATCCAGAACTTCGAGTCCACAAAGGTTCACCTTTAACGGGCAAGTATTTTCTTAGAACTGAAATTATGAAGTTTGGTGACCATTATTCGGCAATTGAACATGCCAGTCCAAAGCGAAAACTTGAAGACTGTCTGAGGTGCCACTGGACAAGTCCTGTTCCTCTACCAGAGTGCCTACAGACACCAAGGGTGGCAGACTGGATGATTGCCAAGTATTAAGGGGACGCAGTACTCTTTGATTTAGGCTGACTGGAAGAAAACACTCGCGGATTCCTAAACGCTTAGTCCCATGCATATGAACCTTATATATCAATGTCATCCACTCATTGATCTGCTTCTGATGATGGTACTTATAAGTACAGCACCAAGTAATAACTAGTACTTGATCTCAGTATCCCAAAACGGCAAGATCAATTCCGAAATCCCAAGTTCATGCCACGCAGAAGGTCGCTAGTGTTACAAATTTGGCGCGTTTCATGCTATTTGAGCTAAAAGTTGGCTCCATAGAGGTCCATTATAATGGTTTGCTTGCACTTTCAAAAAATAGATGGCAGATCTGTCTGACGCACACGAAAAATGGGCAGCATGAAGAAAGCTCCACTTTCCTCTACCCTTATTGGCCGGTTTTCCAGAATTTTTTAACGTAAGGGGACGTCCCCCTGAAAAAGGTTCAGAGGCCTCCCTTCCACCCCTATTTAAAAAAAAGGGAAGGCCACGTAGTTATGAGATATGGACCGATTTGCGTTGGATACCTTACAACTCTTATATACGTCAGGTAAGTGGTGATGATTACACTTTCTTATGTCCTTTTTCGGGGCGTTATCATGTCTATTCGGCATCACGGTAGACACGAAGGCAAATCTTGGCAGTGTAGAAAATGGCTTATACGAGGGGCACCCCAGACGTTCTAGCCAAATTGCATTAAATATCCCTTGATCCTAATAAAATATGTTGGTATTGCTTTCCTGGGATTCAATAAGATTCAGTGATTTTTTGGAAAATTACGCGTAGCGTAAGTCCAAAAGAGGTCACCCCCCCCAGTACATATGACTTTGACCCAGAGTGATCGGCGAGTGCTGATTTGGAATGGTTTCTGAAGGCGGCTAACTGTGAAACACTGTTTTGAAGAGATAAAATCATCCCTACGTGGTCACCACCACACACATTTTGAAACTTTTTTTTGCATTTCTGCAGCACTTTTTGCAGGAATTTACTGGAACCATTTTTGGCACTCAGTTAGTGGAAGGGGAATCCAACATGAACAAAATGTATGCATCCCAAAAATTTTAAAAATGAATTTTTTTTCAATGCAGCCGTTCCGATGCCGGCACCCACCGAAAAGTACAGAATAGCAAGAGCAGGATGGAATCTCAATGAAACAAACACTACTACGGAGAAATGGAAACTGGTCGAGACGATTGAGCTGATAAATATGTTCTTTGCGTCCGATTGTTGTTAGTCACTTGACTCCATCGCTTCCGCCCCACCTTTGTCCTATGACCGCGTTCATCCAAGAGAGATTGCGCCGCATTCTGAGTTTCTTGTCTCCTTGTATTCCTGGAGCAGCATCTCATCATGATCCAAAAATGGCTCCATCCCTTCCTATTCCCAGACGCGTTCATTCAGTACCTCCTTTTAACCACTTTCGAATGGATTTTCGCCTCTCTCTCTCTTCTCAAAGAGAGAGTGTTGGGGAAGAACGACCGTGTCCGGAATCTGTTATACTTTGAACGATCAAGGTGCGGGCCACCGTCAACCAGGAAATGTAGATGGTGTCGGTGAATTCGTTTCAGAGCAGTTCCTCTCCCAACGTGAAGAAAAAGCTGTCATGCTCTTCATCTCCCCTGTATCCGACAGGGAAATACACACAAAAATACGTTTCTTCTTGAGAATGATAACTATACGTTTTTCGAATCATCACGGTGTCCTATTTAAGGCGATATCGTCGGCTAGCGGGAGTCATCTATCGTCCGAGCTGGAAACTACAGGTATCGGGTGGCTTCCTCGAGGTGGCAATGCCGAAAGGTCCGAACGATCGCGAAGGGTATTTCGGCGAATATTCAAAACATGCTTTTCTGACGCGAACGAGGAAAAGGGTCGTTCGCTGGAACGTCGGAATTCGCATGTAGGTCCCTTAGACGTAATATTTTGTTCAAGAGGAAGGGGAGAATTCCGAAAAAGAAGACGAAGTGGGGTTTCCGAAGAAATGCAGGAAAATTTACAAGGAAATTTTCCGAGCGTGAGGCGAAATCCTGGTTTACAGGTCCTTCGTCGGAAATTTTTACGAAGAATAATTGGAAATTCCCGAAAAAATTTTTTTACAGTGCACCATGGTTCAAGAGTACAGTCGTAGGGAATCCGTGGAATCTGATAATCGAATATGCGGAATACCTAGATGAAATAGTCGGAGCGCCCAGATATCAAATATAATCAAAGTTTGCAGAACACGTTTTGCATGAATGTACAAAATTTCCCTTTTCTTAATAGGATTCTACGTCAATTCATCGCTGGCCATATTCATCGCAAACCATTTTCCATGCTATGATAAAAGAACTAATTGTTGCTTCAGCATGAAAATTTCACTTTGAACAGTCAACTCTCGTTGATCCGGACGTTATTATCCCGGACTTTCCGTTCATGCGGACGAGATTTCTTATCCCCAGCGTCATTTCTAATCCGGATTTGCTAGCAAAAGAGATAATGCTACAAAAAAGACTTCCTTGTCATTTTCCCACGCCTTCACTCTCCCTCACCCTTAAAACATATATAGGAGTAAAAACTCATATCTCCTTCGATCTCCCCTCCTTTCCTGGAATCAAGTAAAAGAATGCTACTTCATTGAGACATTCGCCCTTAACTGTCATCTCACTCTTCCTACCAGTCTCATCCGTCGTTGCCACTAGTGCGCAAGAAGTTCCTTACAAAGCGAGTCTGAGCGTCCAGTTCCCCTCGCATTCCTCGAGTAGGCACATTTGTCTATATTTGGCATCGGAGATAGGGTTAAGGGTAGGGGTGAGTATCATTCAAGGTGCTCTTCAGTCATTCTGCGACTGACATTCAGTGTGCTCACACAGATTTGAGTGGTGCTGTTACTTCAATAGTTACTGGTTTTCTTTATTTTATGGTATAATTCTAGTTCTGATTAGATAACTCAGCGTTTTTTGCATTTTATTTATTTAATTTTTAAATTAGTTTATTGGAATCCCTCATAATGAAGATACTGCAAGACCGAGAGGGGACATGCTATGTTGATTCACAGTGGCTATATGTATACAAAGGAGAGGAGCTCACTGGAAAAGACGATTTGGAAGTGTAAAGATTGGTACAAGAAGAAGTGTAGAGGAAGAGTTCATCTTTCCGAAGGACACATAGTAAAATCACAGTCGCACAATCACGTGCCTGATGCTGCTGAGGTAGCGGTGTCTAAAGCCGTAACTCAACTGAAGAATGAGGCGTTGGTGACTCAATTACCTGCACAAGTTGTGGTCGCATATACTCGTGCTGCTATTCCCGAAGCAGCTGTTGGACAAGCACCATCAGTGAGGAATATGAAGAGAACAATCCTGAGATGTCGGCATCAGGTCAGAGGTCATCCCATCAATCCACATAATTCGGGAGAACTCATTTTTGAAGCGCCCTTCACACTAACCGTGGACGGGCGTTGTTTCCTGCTATTTGATAACGCACCGCGGAGGACCGGATATTAATTTTCGGCACGGAGAGAAGTCTTGATTATCTTGCTTTGAGCCCCCACTGGTGTGCTGATGGAACATTCAAAACAGTACCAACTCTGTTAAATCAGTTGTACACCGCATTTCACGAGGAACAGCCAGATTTTCCCAGCCCTTTATGTATTGATGACGAGGACAGAAGGGTCTTACATTGAGGTCCTAGGACAGCTGAAAAGACTGCGTCCCAGGCTGCGACCCTCTACAACAGTGATTCTCAACCTTCTTTTTACTCCCATTGAACCTTCATGCATTCGGGGGGGGGGGAGGTGACACCTCCCAGGTTGAGAACCACTGCTCTACAGTGATGATGGACTACGAGCGTCCAGCAATGAAAGCATTCCAGAACCAGTTTCCAGAGTCCCATCTCCGAGGCTGCTTCTTTCATTTTTTGCAAAATCTCTGGCGTAAAGTCGAAGAATATGGCCTGCAAAGTAAATACACAGAAGATCCAGAATTCGCCGTCCAAGTGCGAATGTTGACGTCTTTGGCGTTTGTTCGGACAGAAGATGTTGCCGCCGAGTTCGAAGAACTCTTGGACTCAATATTTCCAGGACAACGAAGAGATACTCCTACCGATAATCAGTTATCAGTTACATGGAGGACGTATGGATAGGGCGATTGGATCGTCGAGGAGGAAGGAGGTAGCCAATGTTCTCCCACGACATATGGAATTTATATTCCACTGTGAACGATGGCCTGCCCAAAAAGAACAATGCCGTTGTGGGATGGCATAAGGCATTCGGTTCAATGATAGCTGCCAGTCATGCGTCCATTTTCAATTTCATTGATGCAATAAAGAAGTACGAAGTTTGGACAAACCATCAGC